AGTAATTACATACATAATATATGTTGATAATATGATTACTTTTAAATTACTACTGCTAATTTCAGCACTCTCTTCATTCAAAGAGGTATTGGGGGTTGGAAGTAACACTTGGATTATGTTGAGTCTACATGTTGAAGCTAAGGTATACTGAAAGCATAGGACTAATTATGAAAAGGTTAAAAACTTACCAAAGACTCACTCATAAAAGAGGAAGAAGAGGCAAACAAGGCTCCCTCTACAATTTACAATCCTCAACCTAGGGAGCTCACATATAAGGAAAAGGATGAATTAAGAGAGAAAATACACGTACTTAACCACTGAGCCACATCCCCAGTCTGTTTTTATTTTGAGATAGGTTCTTGCTAAGTTGCTGAGAGACACATTAGTTGCTGGGGCTGGCTTTGAACTAGAGAGCCTCTTGCCTAAGCCTCCTGAGCAACTCTGATTATAGGTGTGCACCACTGTACCCAGCTGAAAGCCTATTTCAATGAAGAGATAAGAGATCCTGAGAAAAACTCAACCCAGAACTCCTGGAAATGAAAGATACAATAAATAAAAAAAAATTCAGTTGAAAGTATCATTGACATTAGTTTATGTAGAATACAGAACTTCAGACCTCAAAGACAGTGTATATAAACTTGAACACTCATAAACTCTCTCTCTCTCTCTCTCTCTCTCTCTCTGTGTGTGTGTGTGTGTGTGAGAGAGAGAGAGAGAGAGAGAGAGACAGACAGACAGACAGAAAGGGTGAGAGAGACCATGATTGACTATACGAGAACAATGGGACATAACAAAACAAAAAGTTATTGGAATTTAAGAGGACATGGAGATACAGGCTAATGGCATTGATTACATTTTTAATGAAATAATGAAAAAACTTTAAATTTTATTTATTTTTTAATAAGAAAAATTTTCAAACCTTAGGAAAGAGACATCTACACACAAGTGGCATATAAGAACCTAAATGGAAAAAATAAAAGACAGAGCCTTTTCAAGACATGTCAATAATCAAAATACCTAATAGAGAATAAGGATAGAATTTTAAAATCTACAAGAGAAAAATGTCAGGTCAGTTAGAAGTAAACCAGTAAGACTCACTTCTGACTTCTCAGCACAGAGTCTAAAATCCAGCAGGACTTAGCATGGAATAATTCAAGCTCTGAAAGAAAACAACTGCCATCCAAGATTGTTAGATCCAGCAAAGCTATCAATCAGAATTGAAGAAGTAGTAAAAATCTTGCACAATAACTGTAAAGTAAAGGAATTCATGATCATCAGGCCAGCACTACAGAAGAACTCAAAAAGCTAACCCAAGCTCCTGAATACACAAAGCTCATTTGAAGAACCCAAACAGACAAAGGTCACTGGAAAAACAATAAGGCAAGTGAAAATTAAGACCAAATTAAATCTATGAAACTAACCAAATGACAGAAAGTAATAAATTCTTATCCATAATAATTCTCAACCTCCCAATCTGCCTTGCAGATTGGATTAAAAATAAGATCCAACTATGTGCTGTTTACAAGAGGTTCATCCACAAGTTGAAAATAAAAGAATGGAAGAAGATATTCCATGGAAATGAATCAAGCAGGAGTAGATAAACAATTTAATGTTATATCTCAGGCCCCTGGAAAAGTAGGAACAAACTAGTTCCAAAACTAGTAGAAGACAGAAAATAGCACTAGAGCTCTCTTTATTGAGAAGATAAACAAGATCAATAAACGCTTAGCCAAACTTAACAGAGAGAAGACCCCAATCAACAAAATAAGTAGATGAAAATGGAGATATATGAAAAAGCAGATTTCAAGCAAAAATTAATCATTAGAGTCAAGAAGCTCTCTACATACTGATAAAGAGAACAATCCAAAAAAATATGATAGTAAAGATATATATCCCAAATGTCAGAGCAGCTAATTGCATAAAACAAACACTTCGTCACATAAACTCTCAGGTGGACCCCAGTAAAATAATATTGGGTGATTTAAACTTACCTATCACCAAGAGACAAGTCATCCAGACATAAAGTCAGTAAAGAATTCAGACCTAAGCATTACTATATATCAAATGGACTTAAGAGCTGGGTTCATTTACTTTTAAGAAGCACAGGAACCTTCTCCAAAATAGACCATATTTTAGTTCACAAAGCAAATCTTAGCAAATACAAGGAAATCAGTATAATCCCTTTCATCTTACCAGTTCACAATGGAATGATGTTAGAAATAGACAGCAAGAAAAAAATAATTGAGACCAAATACATAAGGAGATTGAACAATACTATTCTGGATGAGATATGGATCATGGAAGAAATGAGAGGAGAAATCAGAATCAAAGAAGAATGGTGATACAGCATACCAAAATCTCTGGGACACTCTGAAGGCAGTTCTCAGAGGAAAGTTGATAACTTTAAGTTCCTACAATTTTTTTTTTTTAAAAAAGATCCCAAATAAACAATTGGATGTTATATCACTGGCTCCTAGAAAAGCAGGGTCAAACCAGTAGAAGACAGAAAATAGCACTAGAGCTGTCCTTAATGAGAAGATAAACAAGATCAATAAACATTTAGCCAAACTTAACGAAGAGAAGACCCAGATCAACAAAATAAGAGATGAAAAGGAGAAATCACCACAGACATTTCTGAAAACTAGAGGATTATTAGAGATTATTTTGGAAAATTTATATTCTAATAAACTTGAAAATTTAGATGATATTGACAAATTTCTAGACACAAGACTCATCTAAATTAAATCAAAAGACATAGAAAACCTAAACAGATCAATATTAATTAATGGGTGCCTTGGAAAGCTGGTTCCCAGGGGTGAATGTGGGTTGATGAGGCCACATAGCTAGTTTGCAAGCCAGGCCATCTGAACTGTTGGGGGTTACCATCCTGCTGTTTCATAGCTCCCCCCCCGCCCCCCGCAGGTGTGTGATGATACTTTGCAGTAGGAACCTCAGTGGGGGAGAGCACAACGTAGATAGACTGCTACGTTCTTTCTGTGGTACAATGCGGGTATAGGGATTCCCCAGAAATACTCTAAAGTTGACTTGGAGACTTTGAAAGCTGTAGGTTTCTCCAGTATCAAATACTTCAGGTGTCCTTAGCATGACTGGGGACTGTTGGGGACTTTAATTGTACTTTTTGCTGCTGAGAGTAATATCTCTTGACTCAGAATTGCCCTTGACTGGAGAGATGGAATGATAGATATTTTGCACTTAGCCACTTTTTAATGAGTCCATTGTGGGTCTCTGCTTGGCAACATCTCCGCCACATTCCCACTGCACTCTGCCAGAATATATTTGTGTTTTCTTTGTTTTGGGCTTTTTATTGTGGAGTGAAATATACCAGGTACCTGAACTTGGCCATCTGACTGACATCCCTATATGCATTAATTTTTGTGAGATTTGCACAAAAGGAATTTATTCCATTAGAAATATACAAAGTATAGTACAATCATTCTGTTTGAACTTAGTACCACTTTTGAGATCTCAATATTATTTTACTGTAGAAACATTTCACAGATCTACAATTAGTAAGGTCCTAGAATAGATGATATGCAAGGAGAATGATTAGCAATAGTTTATTATGATCTCTGTTCTGTAAAAGCTTACAATCTGATTTGAGTAAATCCCGCAGTAGGCATAATGGATATAGTAAAATTAATGTTGGAAGATATAATTATCTTCCTGTTTACAATTTATAGGAGAGACGGGGAGGATTATAGAAAGATCAAATTTAATGCTAAGTGAAAGTTTGAAGGCAGAGTTGGGCCTGTTTAATTCAGTAGGTAGAGAAAGAAGGTGGAAAAGCATTCCAGGTTTTAAAAACAATGTGATTAGTGTCATGAAAAAAATTATGTAGTTCTTTCAAAGAGTATGCAATTTATAGTTAGATATGGGGGCCGAACCTCAGAAGGAGTAAAAGGAAACAAGAAACATTGAATAAGTGAAATAGTAGATCTTGATAACAGATTTGACATGGAGTGGGCATATCAAGGGGTGGCAGTATGAAGTAAAAATAAATATTACTGATCTCATAATAAGTGTGTATAGTTTTAGTGGAAATCTTAAGAAGAGATGGATTTGTTAAAGTATCTTTTGGAGGAACTACTTTGGATAAGAAAATGTAATAATTATACACTAAAATGCAAAACTAATGTTGGGTATTAGGAGTTAATACTTAGAAACAGTGTTGGGGGTGGGTGGGTAGGTATAAACAATATCAGAGAGATGGAATAGAGGTTGTAATGGGATGATAAGGCAATTGAGAAGAGCAAATGAGGGAAAAGAATTGAGTACCAAGCTTCTTTACACACATCCTGTCATATTTAAGTGGGTGGAAACTCTAAAGATGGCAGAATATATGTGGAACATCTATATCTTAATGGCTGAGAGTATGCCTCTGGATTTTTTAAGTTCAAATCTTTCAGTAGCACTTATTAATCATGCCACCTGTAGAGAGTTACTTTTCCCATCAGATGTTTAATGCAGATACAGATATTATCAATTTCAGTGGTTTGTTTTGAATGTTAAATGGAATAATTTATGTAAAGTACGTAGACTAATATTATATGATCATTACATGGATTCGTCCCCAAAACTGAAAAATTATGTTTAGCTGAGAAATAATATAGTCATTCCTGTAAGAAACTGTTGAACTTTTGTACAAGAGAGTGACACATTTTTATCCATACATTAAAACTTTTTGTCATTATCATTCAAGAAATTTTTAAAATACTATTTGAATCAGAGATTTAGTAATCTTAACCAGATGTGATGAGTATAGTAAAGATCTAAAAACCTATTATCTGTTACATATGTTTTTGAAATTAAGAGTATTTAGTCCAGTATATATTCAAATTTTGAAACAGTTAAGGACATATTGAAGGACTGTACTTCACTTCATTTTAGACTAGGATTTTATAAACTACAGAGTTAAGTAAGCAGGAAGATTCACATTTAACTCACTCATTAAAATTATAAATGTATATTTATTTATTTAGCTATAGAGATTATTCAAGTTATGTGGGAGCAACATTTCCTGGAAAGATGTGTGTTACTCCTTATTCTGCGGGAATTATACTGGTATGTAATAATTTAATCTTTTAAAAAATTAACACATTAAAAATTATCCAGAATAATAGCATATTTTATATAGTTTACATTTAGAAACTACATTTCTTTACTATCACTATTAAAACTTTGAAGTGTGTGGAGGGAAGAATATTTTGTAGAACAAGGATCATGTTGCAATTAGCTATATTTGGAATTCAAAGTGCGAATAAAAATATCATAAATACACATGCATTCCTCAACATATAGGCAAGTGCATCATGAAAAAATATCCATCCATAAGAAGCTTTTTATAGCCCAGATAAATTTTTGCTTATAAACATAAAATTGGATAAACATTAACATAGATAAAATAGTTTAAAAATCAAATGCAACAAATAAAAACTGAAATATAAATCATTTAAAATGTTTCAGACAGTATTTAAAAGAAACTTCTATATGTATTTTAAATATTTATAGTATATTTAAATGTGTCTTATATACAAATCACTGGTGAAATCAAATGCGTTATTGAAGGTCATCTAGCTCTCTTAGCCATTTTCTTATATCACAAATTCTTTGGAAAACAAACAAATTTAAGTCCTACATATTTTTAAAAATTATACACAGTTTTTATTAGCCATGCCAAATATGTTAAGTATATTTGGGAACGTATAACAAAATTTCTATAATCTGGCATTTTACTATCCCGGCAGAGGTAACCGCTATTAATATTTGAATGATATATGTACCTTATTGTGTTTTCCTCTCTATATATTCTCTTTTAAAAAGGAAATTGCAGCACATATTTCTATTTCTGATGTTTATTTTTATGGATGTAATGCATGCACATGGTAATTAAAAGAAAAAACTAAGTATACAGAGCAAGAACTGGTAGCGAAGCTCTGTCCTTTATACCTTCCATGTAGTCCTATTTAAGAATTAAGAGGCTCCTGAAGATGGCAGGTTAGAGGCACTTAGCAATGCTCCATGAGATTGAACCCCCCTCAAACAGGTGTGCAGCTGCATGTTGAGGTAGGGGGGCTATAGGAAGGTGCTGGAGTGCAACTATATAGAGTGTCAGTGACCAGATGAAACCCAGAAATATGAGGTTTTAGGGTGAAAGAGAGAGAGAGAGAGAGAGAGAGAGATAGGTATCTCACCTGGAGAGAGATATCTCACTTGGTAGGGGAGGGGAAGATATAGAAGCCAAAGAGATGGGCATAATTGCATTTTGGTACTGATCCTGGGAGGACCACATTCATGGGCAGTGGATTATGCAAGACCTGTAGAGGGTTGGTTGCATCATTCTATGAGTTAAGTTCTCAGGGGAGCCCTGGATCCAGATGCACAGCAGAGATCTCTCTTGAGCAGATATAACTCAACAAATTCCAAAGATCTGATTGGAACTAAACCCCAGCCACTAGAACTTCCATTTAGAATTCTGTATCAGCTCCGCCGTGGTTTGTCCGGACAAAGCTTGACTGTACTTCCCATTTGATCATCCCACCTTATACTAGTGAAAAGGGAAGCTGAGAGCTATTACAACCAGCTTTGGTTCCAGGCCACTCCAGCTGGCAGCTTGGTGAACAACAAAAAAAAAGATGAAGGGTTTAACAACCCCCAGCCCTCCCTCCATCTTAGGGGTACATGGTCCAAAAACAAGCAAAAGGGCCTGAACATTTATTCTTATTAACAGTTTTGACCACCTCAGCAGATATCATTCCTTCATTATTTCTGTGTTCTTGATGTGCTGATTGGTTTGTCACACAGACATACACACACACACACACACACACACACACACACAGAGAGAGAGAGAAACACAGAAACACACACACACAGAAAACAAAAAAAATTACAAATAGGTGATAAAAGTGATCAAAATGAAATGTATATGCTGATAAATACATATCATATGTATTTTCATACACACATATATGTGTATATATGCTGAAATGCTGATATTTTTTATCATTTTTCACCCATTTGTAATTTTACTTTGTTTTGTATTTGGGGGCTTAAGGCTTTTTGTTTTGTTTGGTTTGGGGTTTTTTTTGTATGTTTTAATTTTCATTTATCTTCTTTCTTCTCCCTCTAATTGCTGAATTCTCTTGTTCTCCATTTTTCTCTTTATTTTGCTTCTTTTATGTTTCTCTTCTTTCTTCATACCTCTCTTCTGTTTTCCCTCTGTTCACTTATTGAGTATTTTAAACTTTTTTTTTGCCTAACGAATCCATTTTCTTTTTAATGAACTGTAGTTGTGCCATCTTTTAGAACTATTTAGCTTATATAATTTCTGCCCCCACCATTCATGTCATTGTGACTTTTAGTATATAAATGGCATAGTTGTCATCTGCTGTTTACCTTGATGCTAGATCTAATTGTTGTTGTTAACTGTAGTAGGCACTAGGCATTTATTTTAATACTGTGTATTGTTTATTGCTATTGTTTGTTTTCCCTTTTCTGGAAAATAACTGTGATACTCTGAGTTTACAAGGTAGAGACTCTGCTGTTGAGCTATACCTGAAGTCCATCCAAGAAAGATCACACCTTTATACACACAAAAAAACCCCACTTAAGCTTCAACAATACTTTTTTTTAAATCAATACTTTAACCTATAGAATAAGGTAGATAAAAACTTCAAAATGATAACCAGGCCCAAAGTTGGAATGGACATCTACTCTTACAGCAAAAAGGTTTTAAAATACTTCAGAGGAACCCACAGTGTTGAAGCAATTCTCAAAGACTGAATTAAATCAGTAAATCTGCAGTGGCAATCTGAGAGACATTGGAGATTGAAATTAACACTTACATTATGCTGAGTCTATGCATTAAAGCTAAGATAAATTGAAAACACAGGAATTATTACAAAAACAATGACTACTTACTGAAGGACACTCTCATAAAAGAGGAACAGGAATCCAGCTCAACAGATGCACAAGTGTAAGACCCTAGAAAACATGAAGAAACAGGCAAATAACCCTTTCCTCCAAACTTACAATCCCACAACAAAATAGCCAACAGATATGAAACAGGATAATTCAAGAAGAAAACTATAAAAATTGATTATTAGAATGATTAACAAACTAAAAGAAGATCTAAAAAAATGAAAGAGAAAATACAAGGGTGAAAGACCATTTTAATAAAGAGAGATTCTGAAAAGAAGCCAATCAATGAAAACTCCTGGGAATGAAAGACATAATAAATCAAATAAATATTCAGTTGAAAGTATCATCAATAGATTAGATTATGTAGAAAACAGAATTTTAGGCCTTGAAGACAACGTACATTCTTTTGTGATTAGAACATTAACACTGGGACAAAATTCAGAGTTTTTGGAATTCAAGTGGGAATGTAGACACGGGCTAATGGCATTAGGAATGTTTTCAGTGAAATAATAGCAGAAAAAAGTTCAAACTTTAGGAATAAGATGGATATCCATGCACAGGAGGCATACAGAACTCCAAAGACAAAAACTGAAAAAAACAAAGAACTCTTTAAGACACATCATGATCAAAAGGCCTAATATAAAAGAGTATTAAAAGTATCAAGAGAAAAATGTCAGATTACATTTAGAGGTAAACCAATAAAGCCCAGTACTGACTTCTCAGACACTAAAATCCAGCCAAGCAAGATTACTATAACCAGCAAAGCTAAGAATTTCCTGGATAAGGATAAATTTAAAGAATTAATGCCCACTAAGCCAACATGATAGTAAATACTTAAAAAATAATACACACAGGCCAGGCCTAGTGGCACAAACCTGTAATCTCAGCAGTTTAGGAGACTGAGGCAGGAGGATCGTGATTTCACAGCCAGCCTCAGCAAAAGCGAGGCACTGAGCAACTCAGTGAGGCCCTGTCTCTAAATAAAATTAAAAAAGGGCTGAAGATGTGGCTCAGTGGTTGAATGCCACTGAGTTCAATCCCGGGTACGTCTCCACTCTCCCCCGACCAAAAAAAAAAAAGATAAAGCACAAACCCCAGAGCTCCTGAATGGATGAAACTCAACAGAAGAGTAGTTAAGCAAATGGCAATTAAGACTGAATTAAATATATAAAACTAATCAAAAGGACACAAAATAACAAATGTCTTTCCATAATTGCTTTCATTGTAAATGGTCTTAACTGTTCAATTAAAAGATATAAACTTGGCAGAATGGATTAAAAAACAAGACCCAAGTATGTGCTGTTTATAAGAGACTCATCTTATAGGCAAAGACAACTACAGCCTGAAAGTTAAAAGAATGGAAAAAGATATTCCTTGCAAATGGAGTCTGAAAGCAAACAGAAGTAGTTAAAGAAGACCTCAAGGAAAAATAAATCAGAAGACATATGGAAGGTCATGACATTTTGATAAAGGGAAAAATTCCCAAGAAAAATAGAATATTTTTGCCCAAATATTGGTTCACCTAATTGCATAAAACAAATACTTTTTGATATTAAGTCTCAGGCAGACAATACAACAATATTGGGTGATTTCTACATAATTTTCTCACTAAGAGTCAGGTCATCCAGATGTAAAATCAATAAAGACACTTATGACCTAAGTATAACTATAATTCAAAAGAACCATAATCAATAGCTAAAGAATATTTCATCTAATGACAGCTGAATTCACTTTCTCTTCAGCATTTCATGGAAATGCTGAATATGGCCTTTTCTCCAAAATAGGCCGTATTTTAGGTCATAAAGCAAGTTTCAGCAAATAAAAAAATCCATATAATCCTTTGAATTTTATCAGATCACAAGGAAATGAAATTAGAAATCAACAGTAAGAAAAATTATAAAACTACATAAACATGATACCCTTTTGAATGGATAAGAGAATAAATGAAAGATAAAACTTTTTAGAATCAAATGAGATATTGATACCACTTACCACAATCTCTGAGACACTATGAAGTCAGTTCTAAAAGTTAATACCATTAAATAACTACATTTTAAGAAAATCACAAACATTTTAAAGTTATATCTCAAGTCCCTAAGAAGGCAGGAACAAACTAATTCCAAAACCAGAAGAAGACAAGA